AACTACACAAGTCACATAAATTTTGATATGCAAGTTAGTGTCCGCTACTTATTACATGAAATTATGAAGCTGTTATTTCTAAAGTTGTTAACTGCTAATTAAAAACGCACAGCATTTTTCGACCATTATGCCGGTATTATGGGCCTTATCAATAACATATCAGATTTTTATAGGATAGCAAGCTACTGAACCAAAAAATATACAATATTTCGCGACGTGTAACATGCTTTACAGGAACAGTGTTGTTGTTTCACGAGCAAAGACTAGCATTCCTGCCCCCGTTTTTAAGTAAAACTACCTCAAATGACGTCATTTTAGGCAAAAAGGAAACTGGGGCTTTCAGATTTTTTTTAAATTTAGATTCTCCGAGCATGATATACATGAGATCATTTTGCAACATATATTTTAAAATACTTTGGTCAGCTGCAGCCCACAACTTGCAACAGGCAATTTTATCATATCCTCTGACCAGTGCTACATTGCATGGTGGCCAGTCTGCTTGCAATTCTGAAGTTCGTTTCACCGCCGAATAAATTACCAATTCAATGGTTTTTTCGACAGAAGCATTTTTGCAAGGCTTTAGCCATTTTGGAATGCCAGTAATATTGGCGATTTTTCGTAAAATCGAATGTACTCTTTTGCCATTATATGAGAGATTGGATTTGACTAGTTAAATGAATATTATGCTAACGGCTCTTTGGGGGTAGCGATCGGCTAATCTGTTGAGCGCCTGTGTAATCCGAGAGATATCCATTGCATCGTGTGCTACTATCATTTTTCCTCATTTTCAGGCCACGAATCGATGATTCCCGGTCCGATGTGCTGCCACGTGGATGCAACGTTTCCTCGAAATCACTCACAACATTTTCCAGTGAATTGCTGCAAAATTCGCATAAATAGCGACAATACTCTGCTTAGCTACTTTCTGAAACTGTGAGGCTAATTGTTTTAACCAGTGCTAGCTGCTTTGTCCGTTGCTTTGACCAATGCTAAATCACTTGGCGGTCAGCTTGCGATGATTCTTGCATTCGTTTTGTCCCCAAAATGAGTAGCCAGGGCTATACTTTCCCAGCAAAGGATTTTAACAAGGTTTAAGACGTTTTGAGAAAGTCATTTGTGCCAGTTGCGCCTCAATACCTCGTCTCGAACCTCATCAGTCCCAATTCAGCTGAGGTACCAAGTTGGCTGGGAGGAAATTCCACGCCAAATAGAGAAAGAGGATTGAACATATTGTTTTTTAATAAATACGAATTTCACGCTTAACAAACCTAAAAAGAGAATCCAAAGGACTAAACGTGGCTCTTCCGGGCAGACGACCCACTCTGTCGGTATAAGGCACGGTAGAACCACTTGCTATGGCATTCTTACTCGAATTCTTCGGGTAGCCAGTTCCATCATTCTGAAAATTTACACGGTTTTTTTGGTACTCTGTATTTTTGGTTGCGTCATCCTGGTCAACACAGTAATAACCCTGACATTCGTCCTCTCTCCTGAATGGAGTTGCGGCTTAACGACTCTCTTGAGAGAAGCTCATGACGGGTTATTAGCCGCTCCGAGATTTTTTTGTTGAGCAACACCGCCTCCTGAATTTTGTCGCTCTTAGACAAAGGTCCTTAAAAATTAATTTATCAAAATCCTTACCAAAGAAGTGGAAGCGGTAGCAATGGTACCACTGGCGACATTCTCGATGAAATCAATGAATCCGAGGTCGATGTGAAACCCGTATGGGCAGCAGCGGCATTTCACCTCAGTAGCAGTCGATGGCGGTTGTTGCTCGGGGCGTCCGTTCATTTTTGTCGAGGCCATAAGCTGCTACACATGTAATTCTCCCGCACCATCAATCATCCAGTTCTGGCCAAATTTTGTAGAATTATGCAAACTGCCGTTAGCGATAATGTCAAATTTTGATTATTCGAATTTTGTTTTTCATTTGCTCGCTTCCTCCTGAAAATTAAAATAGTTGAAATTTACGCAGTTACTTCATTACTTTGAGGATTTTTCACGTTCTTTCGAAGATTTTAGGGAATGCAATAGAATCAGCGACACGATCTGAATTTATTTTGCAAGAAGAGCGGAAAAGTTTGACGAAGGAACTGCAGAAGTTCGGGAAACATATCAAAAATACCACAGTTTTCTGCGCTACCAGTATCGTTATCTCATATTTGTGGTGTTACTAGGATGTTCCTACACGCCAGATGCATCCATGCTAAGACCTTCGATCCTGGGCTGCATATCTTCAGTTAAAGTCCATCATCTGTTCGATGCAGCTGCTTCAATTCTGACAATTATTTTATAAACAAGTACAGAAATTATGTATTTGCCACATATTCATTTATTAAAATGAATGATGATAATGACAAGCCTTCGTGCCAGGATCGCCATACACTTACTGTCAGATGACGCAGCACTGGTTAAAGCAATTGGAAAAGCTACCAGCTGCAAAGATGAAGAACCAAGCTACGAATTAACAGTTGTCCGAGGTATTCCAGGTATGGCAGATTTTAAAGTGGTAATGACTGATAGTGAGAAAATTTCAAACCAAAACTCTAAAAGTTTATTTTCCGCGCGATGCGGAAACACTCAGAAATATTCCAAGAGCAATAAATACCCGCAACCGGTAACTTATCGGCAGTGTTGTCCACGGGTGTTTTGTTCGAAGATTGCTTACAAACAAACTGATGAAGATATTAGTGATTTGACATATACGAAGTATTAAAGAACAAATTTTAATAAATTATAAGTAAAAGGAAATTCTTCGGTCGATTAAGCCGAATATATTCCTTTCTAGTAAAGGAGAAGGTACGTCGAGGTAAGAGGCAAGAAACTGTCGAAGCCGAAATGCGAGGTAAAAAATTCAACAGAGAAAAAATGTAAAAAGCAAAAATGCTAAAACACAGCTGTTTTTGCAACAGGAGCTCCTCTGGCTCCCATCTGGCTATGTTGCTTACGAAGTTCGCTTGCTCTTTCTTTCTTAAACGGATGAGTGGTACTTGACTGAAAACATCCAGAATCCAAGGAAACCGGTCCATACGTTTTACAGAAAGCAAAAAAAGAAAACAGTGTACATATATTTCTTTAAAAAACTGTGCTAATCCCTTGGCATAAGGGCTTCGGCTTCTAGACTTGTGTGAGGTCATGAAACTGTAAAAATGAGGTCCAAAAAAAGTACACAAATGAGGTTTTAAAAAAAAAGTAATGTAAACAAACTACAGCTTATGAGTGCGATGATGTTCGGCATCATCCAAATTCTTTTTTAGTGAGTTTGCCAAAATATCAAATATCTATT